GACTGCCAGTTTGAGCGGGAGTCCACCTGAAAGATGCCTCTGGCCTTTTATCAGGTTCATCCCCTAAGCAGATGTTAGTACTGCCAAATGATAGCCCAAGTTGCAATTTCTGTATTTGTGAGTGCTGAAATAAGAGGTCTGTTATTTGTTCTGAAGAAGTAACCAGTGACTCACGAAAGCTTACACCCTACCACAAATTTTGTTAGCTTTTATAAGGTGCTACTGGACTTTTACTCTTTTCTACTGTTTGTTGTTGAACCTTCTTGCACGGACACCGGCTTGTTTTTCTAATGAGGTCCCAGACCTGGGTCATGCATCCTCTATTGGTGGGAAAGGCATAAAACACACCTAATACAAAAGCAATTAAATTTAACAAATAGAAGTTCTTAGACATATTTCTATTGAAATGCCAATCTGTCATTTTACAATGAGCAGATTTTAATATAGCTACTATCACAAGGCAGTTCTCCCCATCTTCAATGTATCCTCACAACAACCCGGTGAGGAAGGTCATGGAGTAAGCATCACAGCACAGTGGGAATTTGAACCTGGATCCCCAGGCCTAGTCAAGAGTTCTAACCACTAAAGAACACCATACCTAAACCGTGTTCTTACTTCTGAGTTCACATGAATGCTGTTTGACTTGCATATGAGTTTTACCTTCCATTTACTGTCATCTAAGGAGGTCTGTTGCCTAGTTAGTGTTGTATCACACACAGCCACTTACCATTTGGTGTAGTGGTTAGGAGCCCAGACCCTAATCTGGGAAAACTGGGTTTGAGTCCCCACTCCTCCACATACAGCTGCTGGTGTGACCTTTGGTCAGTCAAAGTTCTCTCAGAGCTGTTCTCTCAAGAGCAGTTCTCAAAAGAGCTCTCTTAGCCCCACCTACCTCACAGGGTGTCTGTTGTTGGGAGGAGAAGGAAAAGAAGATTGTAAACTGCTCTGAGACTCCTTCAGGTAGTGAAGGGCGGGTATAAGTCCAATTTCTACTTTCATTCATTAGCAGAGTGTGTGCCAGCAAGCTCATCTATATGTACTAAAGGTTTAACATGAAGAAATATTTGAATTTACAACCACAACACTCCATTATACAGTGCCCTTATTCACCAATAAGCTTCTTAAAACCAATCACCTCTGTCACTCCTTTCTAGATTCTTTTTCAAAATACCCAATTTAGGATTGTGCTTCAATTTGTACTTCACAGTTATTTTCTGTCTTCAATAATATTTACTATAAGATTACAGCAGACAGATAAAAAATAGTTTATACATGATAATATAGATTCAGTGAGATAAGTCAGCTATGAATAGATTCCATCTAATGATATGAAGAAAAAGAGAGCGTTTCAGTGAGATAAACCAATTATAAACATATTCCATCTAATAACTGAAACAATATGTATAGATGCATAATTATAATAATGCATTTTCCTAAAGAAAATTTCATGGGTCAGTTTGCTTATTATGACTGCTCAATTAATACACACACGACTTGCACAATTCTCCTGCAGAATTAGGTGCATCTTAAGTGCCCATTTATGTAGTAGTTCCTGGACTCAGAACAGCAACTCTGAAATGTATTTGAGTGGGACCCACATCATTTTGCAATTACTGTATTTTTCGGGGCCCACTTGCAAAGTAATTCTACACTACTTTCCCCTTCTACAACATAAAAAGTCGGAATCTCACATCAGTTAACAAAGAACAGGCTTACACTTTATTTTTCATGTTTAGTATTTCTTAATATATAGAATTACTGAGCAACAGGCATGTCTTGGTGATTTTGCACATGGTATAGTGGTTACAGTGTTGGACTAGGATCCAGTCGATTAAGACTCAAATCCCTGCTCTCCTATGAAGCTTCATGGGTGACCTTGGACCAGTCACTCTCTCATCCTACCTTATCTCTCAGAACTGTGAGGATAAAATGGAGGAAGAGAGAACAATGCATATCACCCTGAGCTCCTCAGAGGAAGGGGTGGATAAAAAAGTACCAAGCCAACAAATCCAAATTTGTCACTGAGCCTCCCAGATCCTCCTCTGCTAGCTTATCCTGTTCCTCCTCCTTGCTTCACAACATACCGGCAAGAGGGCTGCAACCCACTTCTGAGTCCTGTGCTGTACTATGACAACTATTGCCTTAGCGTACAGCAATTTCCAATTTTTTGGTTTAAATACCGTTCTGCAAAAAAACTTCTTAGAAGTACAAGACAATTGTGTTACATACCATCTAGAGGGAAAATAGAAACCAACTAACATTCTGCCTAGCATCTTAGTGTGGGGAGGTTGTAGAGGAGAATAAATGGGGGGGGGGGATTTGTCCCATAAAAAGCTGTGCTGATGGGGAGAACTGCTGGACCTCCTGATGGCACCTGGTACTTTTGGTCACTGTGTGACAGAGTGTTGGACTGGATGGGCCATTGGCCTGATCCAACATTGGCTTCTCTTATGTTCTTATGATTATCAGGAGGTAGAATCACTTGGGATGAGAAGCCAGCTAAGCTCCTACTCCATTGACATCCCCAAATATTCTTCTTTACGTCCTCCCAAAAAGAGTGAGTGGTTGTCAGTCACTTTTATGGGGAAACAACATTGTTGGTAGAGACTTGAGTACAATATCTCACTGAAAACCAAAATCTGATTTGAACTCTAGACCCAGCTTTGGCTTCAAAGATTAGGATTCCACAGGGGGTACAATATACCTGCAGAAATCCACTGCATCCTCAGGTCCTCTTACAACATATAAGCCTTCACTTGCAGTACTCATGGGCAGCATAAATACATTTCAAATATAAATAAAATAAAACCAATTTTTGCTAGAAAAGTACAGCTCTCAGTAACCTAAGCATGAAGAAAAGAGGAGTATTGCATTTGCGCATGCCTTAGCCATTTCCGAACCAACTGCCGAGTTCTTTTTGCCATAATCCCACCATGTTCTCTGTATGTTATCACACACACACGAATAAATACACAGAGGGCGCCTATCAATGGAAAGATTGCAGGGAGGAATTTTTTTCTAGTACAATGCCTAGTTTAGCACTATGAAAATGGTAAGGAAATTTTGTTTTTGTGGGTGACCAATCAGACTGGTGATACACTTCCAACCTCAAGATTCTGGTATTATTTCCTTAAATGTATTTACTTTAGGAACCAGCCCTGTAGGTGGCTGAATATACCCAGGAATCAAAACATGAAGCCATTTCTTTCTTTAGACACAAGCCCATGAAGATTTAAGCAGCTGGCTAAATGCACATTGTGAGTGGCTTCATTCACCAATTCATGGAACCAAGAAAGTGAAAGAAGTCTTGATTCAAATTACCCGTAACCTGAAATTAGCTAACAACTGTGTATGGGCATGGGTGAGGAAAGTGTTGCCAACAGTTCAAATCTTCCTACTGATTGATTTGGGATGAGCATCAGTAGAATAATGGCATCTGGTGTAGTTATATGTGTTTTGTTTTAGCTTTCATTAGCACTAAGTTAAATGAGATGTATGTGGCAGGTTAGTTCCAAGAGAAAAACTACCTGTAAAAATTTTAACAGTGTTCTCTCTCTCTCTCTCACACACACACACACGCACGCTCTCCCCCCCCCTTGGGAAAGATTGCACAGAAATTGACTAGTCCACACGTTTCATTCATTCAACACACACTCTTTTTAATACCAAGTAAAAAACCTGTTCCACCATTTGCCCAGTAATGAATCTGCATATTTTGATATGACGCAATTAAGGGGGCATTATGCATTATGTATGTGTTCCTTATACACAATTCAGCATTTGAGGGGACAGTACAGAGTGAGCATATATATGCCCAACCTCAACTTTTGGGGGAAACTTTGTTAAAAAGAGATAAACGGAAAGCTTTGCTGTGCAATTAAGTACCCTAAACAGCATCCAAATCTTTGCCATTTAAATTATGTATTTTGAATAAATTATAACGTTTCTTTTTGTAGAAATCTGCAAAAATATAATACTATCGAAGTCTGAAAACCAGAATCCAGAAAAGGTAGCTTTCATTAACATTCTTAATTCAGAGCATAAAGGATCACTCCTTACCAAACTCTATTCAGTCTGCCTCCACAGTATAAACTTAAATCCAGCATACAGCTAGGGTGGGGATGGGAAATTGTCTGTCTATAATTGCAGCATGATATTAGTAAAATCAGAGAAGAAAAGGGAATACTTCTTAAAATATATTTGTAAGGAAGGCGCATGGATTAAAGGCCCACAGAGAAATATAATCAGCTCTCTCTAATATGTGAACTGCTCAAAGAAATTGCCAATAATCTTACGAGTGATTGAAATTGGGAAAATGAAAGAAGTTTAAAAAATGTAGACACTGCCAGACATTCACAATGCAGTTTTCTGTAGCTCCGAAACAGCAACATGTATCCCTGTCTCTACATTAACAGACAGCAATATAAAACTGTTTAGAATTCAGAATGCTAGAGGTATTCTCCCCCCTCCCCCAGCAAATTCCTTTAAATGCTTTCTAAATATATAGTGATTATCTTCCATTCGATTGTTGGAAAGAACCTTTCATTCACTTTCCTGCTTGATTATAAACTAAGCAACAACTACAAAGAAACCCTCATTGTGTACACAAAATCCTTTATTGCACTGTTAGTGTGCCAAAGAAGGGCAAGGAAACTTAAGTGCCCTACCTCTCTTCCCTCTTCCACCTCCCCCACCCCAAAACACCTTTTTGGGGTAGTGACTTCACATCCTTTGACATCAGCACAGCTTGAAAAAGGGGGGGGGGAGGGGAGAAAGCAGCAAAACCTGTTTAACGATGCAAGCAAACCCTTCAGTATTTTTAAAGCTTACGATTTAATGCAACTCCCATATCTACATCTCTGAACTCTGACAAATCTGCATCGGAACAAAAATGGATTCTGCTACAAAGGACTTCCTGCTTTCCTTATTCAAGAATCACAATAGCCTTTTATTAGAGAGCCACAGAGGACTACAATTCATTCAGAACACAAATAACTCACCTCGAATATGTAGAAGGGCCACAGGCTGGAATGGCCCGTTCGAATTGGCTGCGTCCACTACCATCCTGCTGCCCGTTTTATTACATGTCAACATCTATGCTTCAGCAGGGAAAGCAGTGTACTCCTTAAGGCAAGAAACCAGCCTCCATTTTAGTTTTAAAAAAAAAAGAAACCGAAGCTCTCTGCAGCTGGAGGGAACTGGCTAGTTAGTGATGTCAGCGGAGAGGGAGAACCTGATTGGCTAACCTCACCAACTTAAAAATGACTCTAAAAAGCTACAAATGAAAAGATCTTTCTGTGTGGCTGTCACTGTGCATTAAGCCTGTACGTTTGTCAGCTCCCTCGTACCTCCATTCATCATCATCAGTAAATGAATGCCTAGAACACTGTTTGAAAATACAAGCAAGAACCCTTCAGAGTGAACAAGTATATCATGAAAAGGGAGAGACAAGACACTTTCACTTGGATTTGTTTCACTAAAGAGCACTAGCATCCCCCCCCCCAAGAGTATGTAAATACACTCAGCAGCAGAGATCCACAAACAGACATGTGGTGTCATGTTCTACTTCAGTTACTCACTGGAAATGCTTAATGCTTCCCCTTTCCTCTTTGTATTGAATTCATGCCAGATTTGCAAATCGTGTGCATGTGGCTTCACGTTATTTGCGCTGTAGCTTTTAGCACGGCTTTGCTAGGGTTTTTTTACACTCTAGTTCTTCCCAAACACAGGAAGCTGCCTTACATTGAGTCAGACCATTGGTTTACCAAAATTAGCGTCTGCTTTGACTGGTAATACCTCTCCATGGTCATAGGTGGATCATCACTTGCTACCTGATTCTTTCAAATTGAAGATGCCAGGGATTAAAACTGAGACTGTGTGCACAAAAAGCAGAGGGTCTACCACTGAGCCACAACCCCGCCCCTAGATGGGAGAGATTCATGAATTCCCCTCCTCCTCACCTCCAAAAATCCAGGAGCAAAAGTTCTATTAAATCTGAGCACATTTAAATACAAGCAATGTGTGGTATTGATCTGGAAATTTCAACTGAGCTGTCACCAATATGCAGACAACACTCTGCTTCTGGCAGACCCCAGGGATGCTCCAGAAACCCTGAACTGGAGGCAGTTCTGGAGTGGGTCTGAACTAATACACTGAAGCTGAATTCTGATAAGATGGAAGTGCTACTGGTGAGTGGAAGGTCTGACCTGGATTTAAGGTGTCACCCATTCAAAGGGGTTGTACTCCCTTTGAAACAAAAGGTCTATAACAGGGGTGGCCAAACTTGCTTAACATAACAGCCACATAGAATAAATGTCAGATGTTTCGAGAGCCGCAAGGCACAAACAAATATTACACACACATTTTTATTGAAAAATATGCAAATTTGCTTTTTTACTAACATTATGTTAGACTGTGTGAAAGAGCCACATGTGGTTCCTGAGCTGCAGTTTGGCCACCCCTGGTCTATAATCTGGGAGTGCTCTTGAACCGAGGCCTAGTGCTGGATAAGCTGGTGGCAGCTTTTTACCAGCTTCCACTGGTTAGTGAGCTGCAGTTTTTCCGGGGCAGAAAAGACATGGTACATTCAGGTTACATCTAGATTAGATTACTACACTGTGCTCAACATAGGGTTGCCCTTGAAAAGTTTTTGGAAACTTCAATTGGTACAAGATGCTGCAGCCAGAATGTTGACTAGGATGGATTGTAGGAACTGCACCACTCCCAATCTTGGGTCATCTACACTGGCTCCCTATCTGTTTCTGGTGCAATTCTAAGTGCCCTATATCTTTAAAGCCCTATATGGTTTCGGACCACCATATGAAGGACCGCCTACTCCCTTATGAACCTATCCAACCACTGCAGTCATCTTCAAAAGGCCTGCTTTGGGTGCCTCAGAAGAGGGACTTCATGTTCATGGCACCAAAAACACTGGAATTCTCTCCCCAGGGACACTTGCCTATCCCTGTCTGTAGCCATCTTTTCCCAGGGGGTGAAGACCTTTTCTTTGTTTGTTTCATTTGGCATTATTTCAGTGACTCCAGTGAGAGAGCCAGTTTGGTGTAGTGGTTAAGTGAATGGACTCTAATCTGGGAGAACTGGGTTTGATTCCCCACTCCTCCACTTGCAGCTGCTGGATGACCTTGGGCAAGCCATAGTTCTGTCAGAGCTGTTCTCTCAAGGACAGTCCTGGAAAGAGCTCTCTTAGCCCCACCTACCTCATAGGGTGTCTGTTGTGGGGAGGGGGAGAGGAAAGGAATTTGTAAGCCACTCTGAGACTCTGAGTGAAGGGTGGGGTATAAATCCGATCTCCTCTTCTAGCTTGCCCAACATTTTCACTGTAGTTTTAACATTTTTGTGTACTCTAGCTCTAGTTTTAATTGTTTTAATAATGTGCTTTTGGTTTTAATGTTCTTTAAAATGTATGTTATGTATGTTTTTAATTTGTTAGCTGCCTTCATGTTTTTAATTTGTTAGCTGCCTTGTGAGGGCAGAAAGGCCGGGTATAAATTTTGTAAAATAAAGCACACAGCCAAATAAATCTCATTGATCTTAATCTTTCCTTTCACAAAAGTCCCTGGCATCTCCAATAAGGACCTGATTGCAGGTGATGAGGAGGACCTCAGTCTGAGATCCTGGAGAGCCACTGCCAATCTGAGTAGACATTATTGATTTTGATGGAACAATGGTCTGATTCAGTACAAGGGAGTTTCATGTTGTGCACTTTAAATGAGGCACCTGTGAGACCACTCCAGAAGAAGGTGGCATGGACCAAATGACCTAAATATTTATTTATTATTTTCTATTTATAACCCGCCTTTCCTGCGCAGGCAGGCTCAAGGCAGCATACAACAGATTAAAATACAATAAAACACAGGTGCATAAGTGCAATACTATAAGATTCACGTACCAAACAATATACAAATAAAGTGAAGTTAAGTGCAGATGGTGATTGCTGTATGGTGGTCCGGTGTGGCTAAACTAGTATCCATAGTTGGATAAATAATTATCACCTCATGGCCATTCTTTGGCAAGATGGTCTACTGGGTGGGTGGCTATGCTTTCAGGCAGTCTTGGGAGGTGACTGATTATATAGACCCATTTAAATAAAGATTTAAAGAGAAATGGCATTTGGCTGCCCTAACTAAGATTTCAAAACCATCAACCATGGTATCTTTCTAAAGAGGCTGGCTGGAGGGTGGGGGGGGGGAGGCATTGCACTGTGCTTCAGTGGATCTGCTCTTATGTGGAAGGCCAGCTCTAGAAGGTAGAGCTGTAGGAATGTTGCTCAACCTGGTAGCATTTATGCTGTGGGGTCCTGCAGGAGTCCATCTCATCTTCCAAGCTGTTTAAAATCTACATGAAAATGCTGGGAGATATCATTCGCAAATCTGGAATGAAGTGCCACCAATAGTCAGATTTCTCCTTATCAGATGAGTCAGGTGGGTCTATAAAAGTCCTGCAGGGATACCCGAAGAAGGTACTGGGACAAATGAGAGTCAATAAGCAGAAGTTCAATCCAGACACGTCGGAGGTACTGTTGTGCAGTAACAAAGGTGTTCAAAGAGCCAGTCTGTCCTAGAGGCAGTTGCAGCCTCTCTGTGAAAGAGCAGATTGGCAGTTTTGGGATATACTGCTATATTCTGGCTTATGGTTAAAGGCATGTAGAACCTTTAGGCTGACATGGCAGCTATTGCCATTCTTTGAAAATGTAAGTCTGGCGATGCTGATCCATGCTTTGGTCACATCCAGGCTAGATTACTGTAATGCATTCTGTATGGGGCTGCCTTTGTGAACGCTCTAGAAACTTCAGTTGGTTTAAAACGTGATGGCCATGGTTGTGGCTAGGCTACTTGTAGGGACTGGATACAGGGACTCTATTATTCTTGTGCTCAGTAATATGCATTGGCTACCTGTCTGTTTCCAGGCACATTTCAAATTACTGGTGCTTTTCAGGTCCTGATTGATTGGGGCTGGGGCACATGAAGGAACTCCTCCTTCCATACTGTTTTAGCCCAGCAGTTAACATATACCTTCAACGACCAGTTCTGTGGGCCCCTGCAGAGGTGAGGGGAATGGCAACAAGAGACAGGACATTTCAGTGGTGGTACTTCCTCCTTGGAATGCACCCCATTGAGGCTTGTCTAGTACATAGCTTACTATTTTTAGGAACCTGGAAAAAGCATTTCTTTACACCCAGGCTTTTACAAAGGATTTTTATATTTTCAAGTTTTATGGTCTGCTTGTAGCCTAAAAAGGCCTGTTCTATGGATTTTTTAAAAAAACTTGCTCAACGTTTGCTTTATGTTGTTTTATGCCCCTGGCTGTTTTTATGGCATTGTGCTGCTTCAAGCAAGCCTCTGGAGATGTGGCACACACTTTTCTAAACAATATACTAATAAAATCAAGGCCATTTCATACGTTGCATCTTTAAAAATTACACAGAACATGCATGCTTTAAAATGTGAAGTGCGAATGCAATCCAACACATTTGCCATTGTAACACACAAGCAACACTTGAGAGTTATAACTGGCAGCTGCCCTTTGTTGGGAAATCAGAGTAATGTATGAAACGGCCTTCACCACCATTCTAGCTGAATATAACAAGTGTCCACCAGCACAGCTAGACTAAGGCACTGGACAGGTTTCATTAACAGCAGAATGAAAGGAGGTAAAAATAGCAAGGAAGGATAGTCTGATTCCTTTCTTTTTGTAATTCTGTAGCTACAACTTACATTTCATTACTCCTACATGTCATTCAGGGGTTGGGGGGGGGGGTTTGCTGCATGTTTAATCTGTGCTTAAATAGCATCAGAGACTAATGTCACTGGCACACGTAGAATCATAGAAACACAGAGTTGGAAGGGGCCATACAAGCCACCTAGTGCAACCCTCTGCTCAATGCAGGATCAGCCTAGAGCAGGGGTGTCAAACATAAGGCCCGGGGGCCGGAACCAGCACATCCAGGACTCTTATGCAGCCCGTGAGCAACTGATGCAAGGGAGGGAGTGCTGGGGGGGGGGGGGCGGGTGGGACCAGGGAGAGCCACTCCATTGTGGCTTCAGCACGGCAGAACAATTTCATCTGCAGCAGTCAAACATTGTGGGAGCATCTTCCCAGCATTGCACTGCTGCCTCTC